CCCCCCCCCCAACCCCTCCCCACCCCTCGGCGCGCAATTTCCTGGACACGAACGGTGACACCCCCGTCCATCGCAATCCTAGAACTGCATAACCCCTTCAACAACTGGACCTCTCGCTGTAGAGACCGCGAATGCAGCACAACAACTATAACAAAAAAAAGATTCAAAAAAAAGTACTGTTGAGCATTTGGCGACGGCACACACACACACACACACACACACACATACACACACACACACACACACACACACACACACACACACACACACACACAAACACAGGTCCATCGCCATCTCCGCAGGCGCAACGAGTGGAGAGACAGGCCACTAAAGCAACGGTGGACATAACTGGCAGTATCACTCATGATCTCTCGCGGATGGCTTTTGCTATCTCCATAAGGGCGTCGCACATCATTCTGTTCGCCTCATCCGCCGCAGCATAATGTTTCCTCTGCACTTCCACTTCGCTCTCCAGGATTTCGCACTGATGTAACATCATCGAGCTTTGCCGCTTGCTCGCGCTGTCCATTGTGCTCGCCATAAGCGCACCATGCTTGTCCATGACCTCAGCGACGACCTCAAAGGTTTGTTGCCGAATGTTCTTCCTCTTCCCATAACCGCTGCCGCTCCCCGCGCTGAATGTGGAGTCTTTCGTCGACCCCTGCTGCTCGTCGGCTGCCTCCCCTCCACCGTCAGTGGCCATGGTGTCCCTTGCAGCCCCCGCGCCTGCCGGCATCTGAACCCCACCGGCCACCCCAGTGTCCGCCAAATTTTTCGGGTGGATCGTGTGATCCCCCCTCGTCATGGCCTCCATTTCGTCGTACACGCTCCGGTCCATGACGAAGCTGAAGCCCTCCAATCGCCTGGCCTTCGATGCAAGCTTGAAGTAGTCTTTCCCGCCGGAGAGGTTCTAGAACTTGTGGACCTTCTTGAATTGCTGCATCAAGTTGTCCCATTTCTTCCCACAGTCGACGACATCCCTCGTCACGCCCATCGACTGCAACCTTGCCCGCACGTCCTCCCACTTCCACTCCCTCATTTTCATGCGGGCGAAAGTGGTGCCCATGCCGACGAAATACAGATCTTGATCCCTTTTTGCCCTGACGAGTGCGATCGTGTATCCCACCGACCACAAATTGCGACCTCCCTCGCCATCGCTCCGACTCGTGTCGTCATCCATTTTCTTGCTCCGTCGACTTTTCGTAGCGGGACCCTTCCTCGCAGTCGCTCCGCCATTCATCGCCTTCCTCCCCAGCGGCCTGATGTTTGGCAAATCGTCGGAGTTGCAATCGTCGTCACCGTCAACGTCGTCACACCCCTGGGCCTCCTCAACAGCAGCTTCGTCCCCTTCGTCCACGTGGAGCCGTTGCACCCCTCTCGTGATTGTCTTCGTTCCACGTTGATGCAAGGCCTGCCTGCACTCTGCCCACAGCTGCCTGCCGTCGCGGTGCACGTCTGCACCTTCCTGACGCAAATCCTCCGGCCGCTGCTGTCCAGAAGGAGCGCCGAATCCGCTTCGCGACGCAGGTGACAACCGCATCCACTCCGGACGTTCACGCGCACCGACTCCTCCGCCGACGGTCGACGTGGACTCATTCCGATTACCACCGCCTTCGCGAAGCGATTGAGGCAGACCTCCGTCTCGCGGCCCGCACACACCACCGTGCGTGTTGTCCGCGCAATCCACACCCGGGTGGGGATTGATGATCCGAGTGTGCGTTGCCGCTGCTCCACTGCTGCTGGACAACTGGAAGCTCAGATCAACTGCTGCATTGCCGTCGTCGTTGCACAGCCCCTCGTTCACCAGTGACGTGGAAGACCACGGGGTCTCCACCCGCCTGCCTCCGCACGACTGCGTCACCGCCCATTCTAGCGTAGACCCACTTCCCAACGGCAAAGTCGACGACCTGGCGTCTCCCCTCTCGTCATCCGACGGCGGCAGAGGAATCTCGTGAGAAGGCAGGCCTGCATACAACCTCGGGTCATACGGCCGCTTCGCCACAAAACCCGCACAATGTTGCTGACTGCTTGCTCTGGAGGTTGTGCCTGCCGGTCTGCCGTTGCCCAGTCGTCGATCCGTCCTGTTGGCTTTCTTCGAAGATCTCCTTCTGCGAGCCGCGAGCGGGACGAGGCGGACGAAACACACGTGGAAGAATACAACGACGAGAAGCAGCACGACAACGAGGACCAGCAGAGGCAGCCTGTGCAGCAGGTCGGCCATGTAAGGGCCGTTCGAAGGGCAGCAGTGTGACGTCGACGGTCAACCGTTCAACGAACAAGCCCGTCGACGGAAGACAGATCGGTGAAAGTTTTGTGCTCCAACGTGCGAGGCGTTACGACAATCGAAGAAAACGACGATCTTGTCCAATGAGAGTGTCGCCGTCCAAAGGGGGCCGGGTGGGAAAAACATTCGAATTTCAACCGTTGTCGCCAATCGCCCGCCGCAGCAGACCTGACTGGACGCCGGCCGGCATTTCCTGTCGACGGACGGAGGCCTCCCGACGCCGGTTACCGTTTGGAGCCGTCGGGGCACCATGCAGATTTTGGATGCAGGGATGTCCGTGCTCCAGTTCGCTGGACCACGTCTGGACCACCCTCGAACCGAAATTGTGCGTCGACCCATGCCTTCGCCGCTCCCAAATTCGCGCTTCCTTGTGCAATGAGGGACCTCGGGAGGTCCCTTGGGGTTAAGGAAAAATTGGCTGTGGCCACAAGGACGCCACAAGGAAATCTCCTTTTGGTGTTTTCACTTTTTTTTTCGAGAATTGTCCCCAAGGACAAGTGGAACGATCATTTCCTTGTGGATTTCGGGTCCACAAGGAGTGTCTTACGAGGCCCTTATTTCAAAAGAAATTTCTCTCAGACGTGGCTCTGAAAGGAGGTATGAAATCCACTGTCCGGCATATGATAGTGGTAGACTGGAGGAAGAATGTTCTTAGCAGGCAGGAACCAGGGAGGCTAAAAGCGAAGCTGTGGTTTTTACGCTCCTGGGCTAAAAACAACCGTTTGGCCACGGTTTCTCTAGATGGGAAACTAGTGATCTCTTGTTGGCTAAGGTCGGATGTCAAGGCAGTTCCAAAAGCACCTCAAAGTGAGGAATAGGCAAGAAGTAACAGACCCCGCCTGGACACTCATCTGGATAGTTGAAGGGGGTAAAGTGTAGTAGGCCAGGTTTGGTTCTAGGTGGCTGAATTGCTAAATTTTGGGAACAATGCGGCGTATTATTTGGTCACTTGATAATGCAAAAGCCGTTGGAGAGTGGTCGGGGTAGGTCCCGCTTTAGGGACCGAGGTGGTATTAAAGTGGTCGTTCAGTAAAGTTTAGTTGTTTTTCTTTCAGAGTAGGTATACTGTGTTTCATTTGCTTTCTTTTCGTTGTGGTTAATTTTTTTGATATTTTGAAGCAGGAATAGCTACAGTCCTTCTGCATATGTGAATCAGAGGAGCATTTGGCTCTCAAGCTAAACTGGCTGATGCTGCCAGGATAACACCAGGTTGATTTTTTTATTATTATTATTTTTTTTTTAACTATACTCTTCTCTCAATTTTTCCTCACACTACCTACCTACCACTTCTCCTACCTATAGGCATACGGGGAAACCCGTAGCATACCAAGGTCATGTTTTTACGGCTACTCGAGCCTGCAGGATACCGGCCAGGGGACGGCCGGTAGCACCTGGGATAAAGCGGACCAATCCCCCGTGCCTCCCTTGAGGCCCCTCCCCTACGAACATAGCAGACTCTGCTTGATGCCGATCGGGGGATCCAGTGGTCTATCTCTTGGGTAGCGGGTGCCAAGTAAGCCCAGGAAGGCATGAGGCCAATGGGGATTGAACCCATGACCTCCGGAATGCCACTTGCGAACCTTACCGACTGAGCTAGGCCGCTGGATTGAATTGTGAGGTCCTTGGCCTCGATTTCAGTGGGTTATAATATGAACTAACAAAGCGCCCGCGGTGCGAGCGGTGCGGGCAATGCCCGAAAAAAAAAAAAAAAAAAAAAAAAAAAAAAAAAAAAAAAAAATCACACCCAAACCAACTGCTAAATTTCAGTATTGTTAACAAATTCAACAAACCGAACACACATAGATAGACACAAAAAATGAGAAAGAAAGAGAGAGAGAGAGAGAGGGAGAGAGGAGCGAGAGAGATAGAGAGACACACATAGACAGAGACTGAGGAGAAAGAAAAGAAGAATGCAAAGAAGAAAGAAAGAAAAACATTATTCAAGTCAAGAAGATCGTGCAAAATGATGAAAGCACAATAATCACAAAGTACAATCCATCTCCATTTTATTAAAAGAAAAGAACATAATATTTATTTGCTCTATCAGTCTCTCTCTCTCTATCTATCTATCTATCCATCTATCTATCTATCTATCTATCTATCTATCTATCTATCTATCTATTATTATTTGGTCTCTCTCTCTCTCTCTCTCTCTCTCTCTCTCTCTCTCTCTCTCTCTCCATCTTATGTAAGATCAATCAACTCCCATCAGTGGAACGAAACTCTCGCAACATGTCACGAATAGAACTCTGTTGCAGCACTTTCGGACAATAATCCTCAAAAGTTTGAAATCCACTTTGTCGCTGCCGATGGTAGTCAGGATGGATGGCAGCATCGACAGACTTCCACGTGTTCATATCCGTATGCATCTCCTTAGCCGCTTGCGTGATATCTTGCAACCTGTGAGAGCTATCAAGATAGGAGAGATGCGCATGCACTTTTTTGGGACCAACGGATGCAAGAGACTCGTAGACGGCAATATCAAAAGTATAAGTTGTGACTTCTGTCAAACCTCCTGTACGGACATGCAGTTGTGCAGCTGGTGAGACAGGAGCGGGGACAACGCAAGGAGCGGGAGATGGAGTAAACATAGCGGCAGGCGAAGCAGAAACAACTGTAGAAGCAGTGACGATGGGCGTTCCCACATTGGACGGCGAAGCATAATCTGCAAGACGTTGATAATTGGCAGGAGACGGTGCCGGTAATGACAGTGGACGGACAGTGGCCGAAGGAAGAGCGGAAGAAGCAACACCGACATGAATTCTTTTGATGAGACTTTGTATGCGAGCATATCTGAAGAAGGGCTCCGGAATAGTCCCATCCATCGGACAATAGGGCAAATCAAATGTCATTCTTGCAATCTCCTCATTAGGGAGCGCAATGTAGTCATCGTGCAGAAGGGATTGTAACATCCAGCTGGACTCCACATCCGAAATATTCAACGGATTGGAGAGCAGAGAGGATCCTCGTTCCGAGCGCATATCAGTGAGTTTAGTTCTCTGCCAATCAAGGAATTTTTTCCATATCCCTTCATCCTTTACGACCGTCGCAGTCTTCACAAACATTTCGAAAAAGATCTCATTCAAGACCTTTCGCAAACCAACCTTCTTTGCATTATCAAACCAGTGAGAAAGGTAAGCTCGCGGATGAGGAACACGTGCAACTGGCGGTGAGGGATTGCTATCATCGGGCACGTCAAGAACTGTCGCACAATTTCGTGTTTGGGACAGGGCACGAGCAATTCCTTCACCTTCACCACGTTGGGACTTCAAACACGGATCACGATCATCGTCGAAAAGCACATCCATAGGGATCGTACGAAGTGCTTTCAGAACCTGGGTCGCAATTTCAGGACTAACAACTTTGTTAGTCACCCGATGATCACGAAGGGTGGGCTCAAGGTCGTCGGGCGAAGCCAAAATATTTTTTTTCAGACGTCGACCGGTCATTCTTTTAAATATAGATTTAACACGGTCACCGGAACCATCAGTGAAGGTCTCTTCTTTATCATCACTTAACACACATTTATCAGCATCACCCGGCCGATCCCCCTGACAACCATCCACTTTCGCACGAGAGTCATGAGGCCCCTCTTCCACAAACATATTTTCAGCATCCTTGAGCGTGTTACCTTGAGGAGACGCATGCTCATCTTCAACTCCAGGACCAGCACCCCCGGCACGTGGTCCAGTTTGAAGGTTGACAGACATTTCATCGTTTCGGCTTATTTTCGAGGGTTCGGAACACTGCACCCGACTATTAGATGTAACATTGGCATTACCATCAGTAGCAGCGCTGGTGCCTGTCACTTTCAGCCTTTTGCTATACCACAAGTGGCATACTTGCGGCGCAACTAAGAACAGCCTGCAAAAAAAAAAAAAAAAAAAAAAAAAAAAAAAAAAAAAAAAAAAAAGTGTTCGGAGCGGAGCAATTAGAATTGACGGTCGAAAGAGATACAAACGACAAAAGAGAAAAACTCATTCCAAAAGTTCGTGATAAACAATATTCTTTGTGATGAAATTCTTGTCAGGCAACGCAACACGAATGTTATTGGGATGACCAACGCGCGACAAAGCAACATACAATTGGTCGTGCGCAAAAACAAGTTTGCGCAACCAAACCCCAGCACGAGAGACAGTTTGTCCTTGCGACTTGTTTATGGTCGCAGCGAACACAAGACGGATCGGGAACTGCCTTATATTTCATTTAAACCCCATGGTTTTACCATCACTTCTCAAATCGATTTTGGGGATCAGTGTCGTTTTACAGGTGCGCATTATGGTCACTTCCAACAAATCATCATCAACAATCTTATTAAGAATCAACCTTGTGCCATTACAAAGTCCTTGTTTGGGCGACAAATTGCGCAACAACATCACAGGTGCACCAATTTTCAAGCGCAGTTTGTGAGGCGGAAGACCAGAGTCATCAAGAGAATTTAAGAACTCGCGCTCGATGCCAAGTCCGTGATCATTAGAACCAGGGTAATCAACACTACAATTTTCACGCACTCGCCAGGGAAATCGTTGAGAACCATGTCGTTAACACACCCCGCATCATTATTAGTAGCGCAGAGAATCAATCGAGCGTAAAAATAGTCAGCATCCCCAACGTGTTCACAAACATCCTCAAACGTCCAAGAAATCAAATCACGAATATGTTTATCAGTGCAAATCTCATGCGGCAGTTTGACCGTGGCAGGTTCGTTAGGAACAAAACGAATATGATCACCATTTCCAATACGCATCAAAAACACGTCATACGATCACGCCATTGCATCATCCTCTAAGCTTAAAATCCGCATATTCTCAGTCAGGCAATGTACCTCAAAAAGTTTCCACAAAGGAGATATTTTGATACAGGCATCAATTCGCTGTGCAGGAGACCCTTGTTTCACAACCAGCAAAATCTGTTGAAAGTCACCGGAAGAACCAAAACCTTTCCTCCACACGGGAGGTTACTGTTACAGACATCTCGAAGCGTAATGTCAAGAGCTTCCAAGTGGAACTTGTTGCTCATTGGAGCTTCATCCCAAACGGTTAAGTCGCCACGGCGGATAAGTTCGGCAAGTTCATTCTGTTTTGGAATATTGAAGGGACGCGTGTTATCAGGCTTCAAAGGTGCTCGAAATCGCGAGTGAAATGTTCGACCACCGGTCAAAAGAGTCGCCGCTATCCCACTCGACGCCACATCGAGTCCAATACCATTACGCGACCTGATCCCCGCTAAAATTGTTTTTATGCAAAAAGTCTTTCATCTTCCCGCGGGCGCATCTACAAAAGGATAAAGTGGTTGTTTCTCTTCCACGGCCCGAATAACTCTTTGCACCAGCGCTCGTTGCCGAGGTCGAAGACGTCGAAAATTAGACTCAAATTTAGTTCGCATTTCACTCGGATCATACGACAATCCGTCATTTATAATCGAGGACACAATCCTGTTCTCGTAATGCCTGTTTATGTTGTCGGCAATCGTTTCTCCATCAGGGGTCAGATAATAAAGACCGAACAGGCGGATGTTTTTGCCAGACTCATGCAAGATACGATCAAGATCAAAGAGCACTAAACATTGCAAAACGATCGGGGGGAGAATCTGAGAGCCCGCACGATACTGAAAATCATCACACATTTTTGCCCAATGTCGTTGAAAGAATTGAACAGGATCGTTGACCGGCCCAAACAGCAGAAGCATAGCAAATACTTTATGAACCTCTGCAGGCATATAATGGAGTGCGGTCGTATCTATACATTGATTATATGCATCATCGGTTTATAAACGTCCTAATCGAAGACACACCGATCGGAACGAATCGTATTCGACTCCATCGACGGTACGAATTTTCGCAAAAGAGCGTGCTCCACGAGAGTGTTCATGGTTTAGCAACACACGGAGATAGAAGCGTTCGCCTTCTGTGACCCTGACGTAATGCATTCGATATATCTTTTCGAAAGGAGCACCATGAAAAACACGCTTTCTTTTGTTCCACACCTTATGCTGATTATCCCACACATGAGTCTTAATAATTTCATAATACAAAGGAAACTCGTGTTTAGGAACACGTTCGTTCAAAGAGTCGTGATCCATCCATGCCGTCAATTTTGTGCTCGGCGGTCCACGGGAAACAACATGATCTTCTGTGCCTGGTTCAAATACCACTTTTTGCATGTTTTCGATATGCACGGGCAATCTTTTGACTACGGGTCATTGTATCGCAAGGTCGAACTCAAACAGACGCCAGCATGCCTTGCATACACCAACAACACGCATATCTTGATAGGATTTGACTTCATCGACAGGTGCATTATTATCTTGTTCGCAAACCATGGCACGATCACCCTCTTTATACACGTACTTATACACATACTTGCACGCCTTGATGTTARCACAACATTCGACATTGATGTGGCAGTTAAACCTCATCACCAAGTACGGGTTATACGGGACCACTCGACGATTATCATAAACAACGAGATTTTGAACGACCGTAAAGTCACCGTCACTTGGTTTTCTTCTCCTATACGAATGGTAAGTTTGTTCATCTTTAAAGGTTGTCGTGAAAATGAATTCTTTCAGAAACTCTTTCGTGCACTTTTCATTCTCGGTACACGAACCATCGCTTTTCTCCTCATCGCAAATGCCGTGCAACATGAATTTGACAACCCTTTCTCTCAATTCCCCTTCTGGTGGAATCTCCGCACACACCACGTTGTCAACAGCATCTGCATCGCGGATTTTATCATCCGGATGCAAGATAACTAATATGTATGCATGCGGCAAAACCCTTTTTTGGAACTCAACTACATACAACATTTCATCGACCCTCCCAAAGATCTGTTTTTTCTTAATCTCGTCAATGAGTTGGGTGAGATAACCTTTGAACACTCGGGCAAGTAGATCGGGTCTGTCGCTTGCGCATTGACCCGGCAACAACGCTTGTTGGATCTCTGGCCAGTTTGTGTTACACATCATAGTGATAAAAAGATCGGGTTTTCCAAACCGCCTCACGATTGTCATGCTGTCATGATATCTTTCAGTCATATACCGCGGTCCCCCAGTGAAGGTGGAGGGCAGAAGTATTTTTGTCCCAACACCATCACTATGCTGATTTTGTTCCACAACCTCTCGCAGGTCTTGATAATATTCCGACCGCAAGTCTTTCTGATGGAATCTCACCCATTTTAAGCGAAGGGATTTAACCTTAGCGTAAGCCATGCAACAAAACTCGTGGAAAAGACGCGCTGCATAAAGGAGGCAAGGTCTTTCACCATCACGTTCGTGTAGGTGAAACGCATAGTACTCCTTCGCACTGAGTCCCGACGGCCATCCAGCTTCCAACGCACGTTGGACAGACCAACTGTCAATCCCTTCCGGGAAGAGTAAAATAAACCTCAAACAATCGTCCACTCAGAAACACTCCGGAACGACAACTGTTGGCCGCTCACCCGGAAGAGGGGCACGTAAACGAATCTCGAGCTCACGAGGAAGAAGGTCATCCACCATGAGAACGCAGACCTCCTGTAGCCACGACGGACGGTTATAACGCCTTGCATTTCCTCCGCGGGCATGGCATCGGGATTTATGACCAACGTCCTTCCATTCAACGCTCCTGGCGGAAGGTTGGTCATGGTCATGAAGTCCCTCACGTAGTTGTTACACTATTGTAGCAACTTGTGGAACCTTCTTAATAGTCATCTCATTTGCTGAAGTTCGACATCAGACGTGTGTGCAGGTAAATTAAGGAAATTCACTCTTTGATCAATCGCATCATCCAAATGTTGAGGATCGTGCAAGTAAAGTTGTGCAAACTGAGGACGCCCCCCTTCCCCCACAGTCAATGCACCGACTCGATGATAGATCAGACCCTGAGCCCGAAGTTGGCCCTGGAATCCTTGAACGTCATCGCTCAATTGTTTTAACAGCGAGGATGAGAGAGATAAACTATTATTGATTATCCTCACATTATTTCGAACGAATCGCCCGTCGGGAGTCTGAGACGTCCAAATAGAAAGAATCTCATGCTTCGGTGACCCTTTTCGAAGCCATTTCCATAGAGGACAAGTCTCGTACCTTTTCTGCAACATATTTTTGTCCATTTTTTTTCATGATTCCACAACTTAGCACCACAATACTTGCTTGGTTCTCTACCACCAATGTCGAATGCCTCAACCGTGCTGCATACGGTGTTGCCACGAGTACAGACGGGAGTGCATTCATATCATCAGGTGGATCCTCATCCAAATCATTCATTTGCTCATCCTGATTATCCGGCTCACTACGTTCCCGATTGTTCATTGAATTTTAAACTGTAACGAACGGATTGTGCGACTGCTCTGCTTTCCCCGACATACTTTGCGATTGTCTCAGTCGAGAACAATGACGACGCGTTTCCTTCGAAGAAGAAGATGCATCCCTCGACTGGCCAAAGGTGGTTGCTCAAAGTTCTCGAAGAATATTTACAGGGACCAAACTTCGCCTCACACCCCGCAAAAAATGTTTGTGAGCATCCATATCTTCTTTGCTCCTACGATTCTTAATCGCAACTCTCAATGCACGCATACGTTTAACATGACAGTTTGACCGTCTTTCCAGCCTTTTCTTTCGAGTGGAAATTTCATAGGATGTAGACCCCGGTTCATCGCTATTCATCCTACGGACTTGTTCTGTTGCACCGCCACCGCCCACTGTACTTACAACAACTACCGCATATGCATCAAAGTTGGGGAACACAGGCTGACGTACAGACGACAACGATCCAAGGTCCAAACGACGCGCGACTTTAGTGGCGCGCAGTGCCCGAAGCCGCAACATACGA